TTTAAATTGAGATAAATGTTGGAATTGTATGCTTGGTTGGGTTGTTTATGATGCACATGAGTGAGAGGTTCCTTGTAAGGATGATCACTCCTTCCAAGAGGTTCCCGGTAAGGATGCTTGAAAAATAATGTAGTGATTGGTGAGAGGTTCCATGTAAGGATGCTCATTCATTTTCAAGAGGTTCCCGGTAAGGATGCTTGAGAAATAATGTAGTGATTGGTGAGAGGTTCCATGTAAGGATGCTCATCTATTTTCAAGAGGTTCTCGATAAGGATGCTTGAGAATCAAAGGTGACCAAAAAGGGGGGTGGAGGTTACCACAAAGTATGCCACCTACCCAAGAATTGTTGGAAATTGATTATGGCAATTAATAGTTATTATTTGTATGTGGTGCTCATTTATTCATTTAAGTAATATTTTTAAATAAACTTGAGATCATTTTTAAATGTCATTGCTTTATTTCAAATTATGTATCTATGTTATGTTAAAATTGAGACCGACCGTTTTAAATGCTTTTCTAAACCTTGTATGGGTTTGGAAGAATGTTTCTACAGAGCTTCGTGCTCACCCCCTATCGCTAACATTTTTCAGATTACCCGCTTGAGGAGGAGGACGTAAGGGTCGAGGAGCCCACTACTTGGGAGACTCCACGGGACGGGAGTGTGGATCCTGAGGTGGACGCATAGAGCGACCTCCTTTCCTTTTGTATTAGACTAGGACATTCTTTTGGAACATTGTGTAGTCTAGCTTCTTTTGTTTATTCCGCTACGCTTCCTTAATTAGTTTTTGAGATGTAATAGCCATGACTTGGGCTTATTCTTTTGGATAATGTTGTAAATATTCGTGGATGACAAATGAAGTCTTGTTTCTTAAGGGATTATATTAGTGCTCTCATGATATGAATGATTTTAGAATGTAATGTCATCCAGGGTGTGTTTTGGGACGTTAGACAAGGGAACCAACAAGGAGTGGCCAGGTGAGTGGTCGTTGCCCAAGTGAGGCCAGGAAGATCGGTTGGGCAAGTTTTTGAGGACGAGCTACAAAGGGCATGGTAGAGACATATCGGAACCTTCAAGGGGTTGACCAGGACCAAATTATGAGGAATACGCCACAAGATTGGTGCCCGACCAGCCTATGAGGATGAAGAGTTACCAGGATCATCCTAGGATAGTGAAACCAACCAAGCTGTTGGAAGGCCGTCAGTACATAGCCCAAAACCTAAAGTTTTCACAATACCCTCAGCCTTGTCTACTGTCATGAACACAAAAATGAAGGAAGCAACGGATCCAAACGGACTTGTGCAGGTGGGAAGAGGAAGAGAAGCTTTAGGCCCGAGAAGCCCAAGAAACATTCTAATGTCTAGACCCCGGGATTAGGTAGATTAGATTCTGATTTGGCGTATGCCCACCTCCGTAGCATTCAATGGCCTTGAGGAGGGCGACAATTGAGGAGAAAGGAAAGAAGAAGGTAGAGCGTAAGTCTGCACCTGAGGAGAGTTTTGAGGAACGAATGGTAAAAAGGGTGGTGGAATGAATGGGGATCACACGCAACATTCCTTCGAAGACTTGTAAGGGAGGGAAAGAGCAGGATCCTACAGATCCTTCCAATGTAGATGATAGCGATGGAGGTGACTCCATCCAATTCGGCATTCTAGGGCCAATAGTGTCTATCAAGTCATCTTTTTTCGACAAAGAGGAAGCATCCAAGAATAAGGTAGAGCGCTCTCACAAGAGAGGTTCGAGTCAGGAAAAGGGTGCAAATAAACTACTACTTCCCAATAGCTTTAAAGGTTGGCCATTTAGTAGACCTACACGGCCCATGATGTAGCATTTGAAACTGCTATACATTCGAGCACACTTGGAAGGAAAACCTTTCAATAGGATCTTGGTCAACAATGGAGCAACTATCAACATTCTCCCCATAGTGACTATGAAGAAGTTAGGAAAAAAAATAAAAGGACCTAGTCCATATTAATTTAACAGTGAGTGGGTTCACAGGAGGAACCAACAAGATGGTAGGAGTCATATCCATCGAACTGGTTGTCGGTAGTAAGACCAACATTATGCCGTTCTTTGTGATTGACACAAAGACATCTTACAATGCTATTTTTGGGTTGGGATTGGATCCATTTGAGCAAATGTATTCCATCAACTCTCCATTAGAAGCTGGTATTATGGAATCTAGGAGATTTGGAAGAGGTGGAAGCAGACCAAACGTCATTTGTGGCAAATGTGCATATGGCTGATGCTTGGCTCTATTAGGAAGGATTGGAGGGGGGGGGGGGCAACAATTTTTTAAGGCCAAGACAAATACGGGAAGCCCCAAGAAGTAGTGTTTCAGACCGACTTGAAGTCTAATGAGATCCATTAGATGGAGGGTAGAGATCCTTTGGGCCACTAACATGCAAAGGTCGAACAGCGTGGAAGAACCTGAAAGCTCCATTGATGATGGAGCTCAACAACAATAAGCAAAGTAGGTAGGCTGTAAGGGCAAGATAAGAGCTTACCTGACAGAAAAAAAGTGCCACCCCACTACACACGACCAGCGGGCAACAAAGCGCTATCAACTTGGTGGAGTGTGAGGAGGAGGAGGATGAATCCAAGTAGATTAGCTCATGAGAGTTCATTGAATTAGCTAAAATCGATATAGCCCCGGCTAAACTTGACAACTTGGTGGAGATTCAAGACCCCTTGCTTGAAGTCAACCTTGGTGGGCTGGGGGAGCATCGAACAATTTTTGTCAACAATTGCTAGAGCCGAATTTCCAAACATGGCTTATATAGTTGTTGAGAGAACATCGTGACTGCTTTGCCTAGAGCTATGAGGAAATGTTAGGATTAGACCCAACATTAGTGGAGCATCGATTCCCAATTAGGGAAGGATACAAGCCGATTAAACAAGCCCCGAGGTTGATGTCCCAAGAAGTAACTTTGTTGGTAAAAGAGGAGATTAAGCGCCTCTTGAATCTGAGTAAAAAAACTCAATAAACTTGCTCCAACCTATGACTCAAACTTGTACTAAATTAAGGGAGACTTTTTTTTACTCAAATCTTTAATAGTGAGATTTCACCATCTTTTAAAGATCCAATGATCATCTTTACTATCTTTTAAATTTGAGTTTACCCACATTTAAATTTGGGCTTCTCCTTTTTTAAATTTGAGTTTGTTCATTAAAGCTCTTTGTATCAAATCAAATTTTGTACTCAAATGTTAATTTAAATTTGAGTCATGGTTGGAGATGCTCTAACACGTCACACTACTTCAAAATCGAATGTCACTTCTTGATTATGAGTTTTCACTAGTGGAATCTCGTACTTATGATATATTGGTGTTTTTGCTAAGTTTGATAGGAAGCATGAATTGTGTTATACCAATGTTTGAGATTGAAGCACGTTTTTTGAGAAACATATGATTTTGGCAAGGATTTGTGTAAACTCAAATGCACTTTTGATTTCCAAGGGATATTAGATCATTTTCGTTCCTCATCGCGAGGTTTTGCCGAAGGGGGAAGGGGGTTCTACTACGCCTAAAGAGGATTGGTTAGCAGTATTGAATAATTTGGTGCATGAGGTACCACAGAATTCCATTACTAGTCCCCTCCAAAAAGTAAGGGGAATATCACGTTCCCTAGTGTAAAAGATCCTAAATCTCCCCTTGAAGTGAATAATGGGATGGTTGAATGTTCATGGTACTATTGTCAGTATGTATTGCACTCGTGGTATTTGAATTCGGGTTGAGTTGCGTGGCAGAACAAAATCTTATTGGTATGTTTCATACTCATACTGGGTATACTTTCTTTACGCATTCTATAGTGAAAAATCTCTATTTCTCGAATGTCTTGGGTTTATTAGTTTTGACAACTTCAATTTGTTTGGAAAATATTATTCTACGGCACTACTTTAACTCACCCTTCAGTCAACAATTTTTTTAGACACAAGCATGAATTGAGAGGCATGAGTGGGAAGAACAGAAACGTGGGAACGTTGATTATATTTGTTCTGTTCGACTCTCTGAGAAGTTTGATGTGTCAAAACATTGAATGTTTTAAGAGTTATTTCATGATATTTTATTGTTGGTTTTAGGTACCTCAGAGTAGGTTTATTTTGAGGAAATAGAGTTGTAGCTCCATGAGACAGTTTTTGAATCTCCATTTGCTGACCCTGTTTTAGAAATTTATGGATAATGTGAATGGTTTATTACAGATGTATCATTACTCTCATAGTTTATGCTAAATACCAGTTCACAATGAGACTTACTTGAAACCCTTAAATATTTTATTAGATGCCATAGCCAGTGTGTTTTCTTAATTCAACTGTTTTCCCAAAGTAATCACGCCCCTTGGAAATTTGGGCGTGAAAGCTCGAATTAAATTTTGATTCCCTCTCACCCTTGAAACATTTATTCCAAGCCACAACAGAAGAAAACTTTTCACCGTCTTTGTTTACTGTTCCAGATTAATAGAGATCTCAATTTTATGTAAACTTTCCAAAAGTGAATGAGTCAATACTCGAATTAAACATACAATATGGTGATAAATTACATCGACATTAGTAAATATGATCACTATTATAAGATGAAAAATGCATTGAAAAACACGATGGGATGATCCAAACAATAGCAGGAGTTAAGTTGAAATTGAAGCCGGCCCTTCCGTTTGCACCATGGCAATTATGAAACTAATTAAAAAATTAGATTTAATTCTATTGTCTCTCTCGGAAATATAACGTGTCCCACCTGGTGTGTAAATTACAGGGTATTAAAAAAATATAGCTCATGCATAAAATTTATTACAACCACCCTATACCATTTGGGTGGGCTTATTCGAGTTAACTTATGCATAGTCAAGCTTAACCTACCCTAACTTTGGGCCTTATAATCATTTTAGATCATGGGACAAAATCAATATTACCTTACCAGAATTCGCTGACGTGATTTTAATTCAAGAAAGTTTAACAGAGATCACTTTTAGCATAAAGTCAACATCTTAATGGTAACAAAGTAAGTTAGGGCATCACTGGAAATTCAAAATAATTTTTGCTCAAGGCTCATGGCAATCAAGCGTAGACAATGGTGAACAGCGTTTTCCTTGTCCGAAATATTTATACAAAACAAGTTCTAACTTAGAAAAGCCATTCCCCATGTCCCAACCACCTTGGCACAGAGGGACCCTCTTTTCCTCAATTCTTTACCTAATTTTCCTTCGTTTTTTTTTTCCGGGTCCAAAAGCAACAACAAACCACAAAGTGGACCTAAAAATTAAATCAATCCAACCTTCCAAGCATAGACTTGGGTACCCAACAAGAATACATCGCATTTCATCAAATTCTGGTCGCGTACAAAATTCCAAAACAACATTCTACATGTGACTACCCCTCGTTGGACAGCAAACATGATTTCTCTTACGAGCATGTTCTTCATTGTGGTGTTGTGTCCGACATGCATATCCATACCAGCAGTCTTCTCTTTGAGATGCATCTGGGGGTAGAAGCTATAACAGCATATATAACGGTGGCAAATTATGTACCGATAATTATAGACAACAAAAACTCAGATAAAACATTTAGGATCATATCCTGTACTAACCGATGACTACTACCACACATCATTTGTTCATAAAGACAATGAGATAATCAATATTAGAAACAAACGCAAAATTCTAAGTACCAAAGAAAGAAACATGTCATATATAAATTACCGCAATGTAAAGACAGAAGAGACTACTTACCCATATATAAATGCAATGTAAACCCAAAAAAGACTACTTACCCGCATATCCAATGACACACAAAATAGTCTATAGACTCATAACATTAAGGGTGCATTTGGTAACCGTTTTATTTTAAAAATTTTTGTTTTTGTTTTTGTTTTCAGTTTTTTCCATAAAAAGAAAATGGCAACCCGTTCGGTATGTGTTTTCATTTTTTTTCTTGCTAATTTGTTTTGAAGACAAGTCCGAAATTTGCAAATAAAAAAATTATGTTTTCAAAAACACCAAAAAATTAAAACACGGTGCGCCTAGGGGAGACTTTAATGAGGTCCCCCTTCAAACCCCCATTAGCAGTAAACTTGAAGATTTTTTGTTGGAACTATTATAGGCCCCCTTCTCTCTCTCTTCTGTCTCTCTCTCACGAAGAAACGAAGGTCTAGAGCAGCAAGGGAAGATCTACTCTCCTCTCCATCCTAGATCTATTGTTCTCTCCATCGATCTCTGGTCTCGATTTCTTTCTGAGGGTTTAGGTAATCGCTAGACTTGATGTATAGTGTAATAACCTCCTCTCACGAATTAAATAACAATCAAATTCGATGCGTTTAGTACTCTCACGAAATACCTGATTATTGACAGTTGTTAAGAGTATTATCATGTAAATACTAGTTTTAATAAGTATATCACAAAGAGAGTATACTCATCTTTTGTATGATTATGAAATAACTATAAATACAAATGATTTTTGAGAGATAGGTTAAGTTTTGACCACTCTCCGTCTCTGTCTAAAATTGTGTCAACTCTCCAAACTTAACATGTTATTGAGAATTTGATCTAAGAACTTCATCTTCTTCTTCCGTTTCTTTTCTCGTTTCTGATCGAAATCGTTGGCTCAATACACTGTAAATCCCACGCCCAGGTCTAGGGTTGTGGGTTATGGTTTAATTTCGAAAACATTGTGATTGTGTTATGGAAGTCAATCATGATTGAGCTGTGGCTGCTGGAGGATTGCTGTGGTGTTGTGTTGTGGTGGTAGAGTCGTCAATCAATAGAGTTGTGGTTGATTATTGTGGTTGCCGGAGGTCTATTGATGTGGTGGTGTTGCTACACGAGGTCTGGTGTTGTTGCTTGTGGTTGTCATAGGGGACTGATGTGTGGCACCATTGGAACCTAGGGTTTCATTGAAACCCTCGCAGTGAAGACAAGCGTCCATGTCAGATGGGGTTAGTTTTTATGACGGGCTTAAATAGCCCAGTTAGTTGCTATTGAGCCCAGTGAGGTGTTGACTGAGGCCAGTTGTTGTTGAGCCCAGTGGGTTGTTGATTGAGCCCAGTTGGTTGCCACTTAAGTTCAGTCTGGTTCAACTCATTCTAGACCGGTTCAACTTGTTTTGAAGCTAGTTCAGATCTGTTAGAATATTAATATTAAGGATAGTTTAGGCATTTTCTTTATGTTGTGTTGCCCTATTATATAAGACTTACTTTGTTTATTTCTAGGTAAATGTTGTGTATTATTATTGGTTTTCTATGAATAATACATTCTCTTTTTCTCTTCTTCATTCACATTGATCAATCCTATCATGGTATCAGATCCATTATATTTCAAAACTTAAGACTATAGAAAGTAAAAAGATGAAAGATTTTTTTTTGGACTGCTAGAGAATGAAGTCAGCATCGTCGCCGATGATGACATCATGGTGATATCATCCTTTTCCGACCGTGAAAACCACTGCTAGACTTGAAATTCCATGGGCTTTCTGCTGGTATGATTTGTTTTTGATTTTGAGCGCATCTCGTAGGTGTTTCTATTTTTTGAATATTTTCGGTCCAAATTTTCAAATTTCTTCGATTCGTTGAAACAAGGACTTTTTGCTGCAATTTTTGGTTAAAATCTTCTCTAAGAGGTACGACTAAACTTCCATGGTCCCCTCTTGAGAGACTCGAAGCCTTTGAGGAATTTTTTGGCTTGATCTTGGCCATCTGAGGAATTCGGTGTCACAGCTTCTTTCTAGCGACACTCCAACGTCGGTGTTGTGGGTGGTCTTCTTGTTCTGTGATGCTATTGCTATGCTTGTGGGTTGCTTTGATCTTCAGCTGATTTGTGGGTAATCTCCTTGTGGCTTCGGCAGTCTAGTTTTGTGGTAGTCGACAATCGTTAGTCTTCTTGTTCACTGTTCCTGCTTTGGTGTTGAATGTGTTGATTGTTATTTGGAGTAATTCTTTAACTGGTGGCTGCTGGGTTTTGACTCTGGATTTTGTTTCCTTTGATTTTGAGTGTGATATCTATCGATAATTGTTACTACAATAACAAGTAGAAATTCTGATTCACTTCAAGCCATTAGTGTGAGATTAATAGGTGAAAATTATGTTTATTGGGCTTATGTTATAAAAAATTTCTTATTAGGGAAAGACATGTGGAATTATGTTAGTGGTATTGCATAGGCTCCAACTGATACTAAGGTCAAAAATTACGCTGATTTGAAGAGTACTTAGGATATCAAAAATGCAAAAATTATCACCTGGATTAATAACTCAGTTGATCAAACCATTGGGGTTCATCTATCCAAGTTTAGCATAGCTAAGGAAATTTGGGATTATTTGGCCACACTTTTTGTCCAGTCTAATTTTGCAAAGAGGTATCAGGTAGAGCATTAGATTCGAGATGCGCGTCAATTGGACAAAACCATACAAGAATTCCTACTCAGTTATGACTGGCTTCTGGGATCAGCTAGCACTTACTAAACCCACTGAGTTGAGCGTTGAAAACCATACTGAAGTACGACAGCACTAAACTTATCAAATGAAACACGTGGAGATTGTTTCAAACCATATCGTGCTTTCTTCAAACGACAAATTAATTGTTCCTTATCAGATGCAACATAACTTAGAGAGTTGGAGGTTGTACCAATATATGCCTCCTCCTATAGGTCTCTGTGTAAAAAAAAATTCTTGATGTCCAACTGATACAAAGATCAATCACAACTAACTAAAACAAAAATAGGAACTCTAATAGACTTCAGACAACCAACATCGAAAAAAGTCCCACTGTAATCCATACCGTATTTTGGTCTAAGAAACCTCAATTGGTTGTGGATACTTCAATTGCAAGGTTATTGGGTTGATTTGTGATGAAATTTGGGTTGTTTGGGAGGTTCGATGAATTGTATACTCGCAACAGTAATCTATTTAGCCTCTTATCTCTATCACAAGCTACAATTAGGTGTTGTTGCTCAATTGGATGATATTGAAGCATCTTCAATTGATTGTTTGGTAAAAACTTGGTAGACTTCTCTTCTGTGTGTATTGGTTTTTCCTCACTGGTGTTGGGATTCCTTCCCAGCCTAATGTTGTTGTATTCATTGCTCTCAAGTTTGTGGGTTCGTTGGGCTCCTTCTAGGGTATTCGTTTACTACACTTGTGATTGTGTTACTTGATTACTGAGCTTTGGATTTTGTGTTTTGGATTTGGTTTATATGATTTGATTTTTGTTATATAATTTTCATTTCCTAGAATTATGACTCTCATCAGTCCATTAATTTAAAATTGACTACGATTGTTGATTAGGTGCAAAAGTTTCTTAAGCAGCCTCATACTATCTTAGTCTCTTTTTATGGGATCATTCACTTCATGTCCTTCACGTATATTTTGACCCAAGTGTTACGCATAACATGACTAATGATTCTTCCTTATTTGAGTCTACTATATCTCCTCTTCTATATCTGTGCTTGCAACAAATAGTACTCAAATGTCCCTAGTCCGTATTGGGTCTATTACTTCTCCACAACTAACACTTCCTGATGTTTATTATATTCTATAACTTACCTGAAATTTGATTTCAGTTAGTCAGTTATTTGACTCTAGATTTTCAGTTCACTTTGCTTTTTTCTGGTTGTGTTGTTCAGGATTCTCGTTCCAGGAAATTGATTGGGCAACCAATAGAAATAGAGGGTTGTATGCGTTGAACAAGTTGCATGTTCTAGATATTATTGCTTTTACTGTTGATTTGTCTTCTTTTTATTTGAGTCCACAGTCTTCTAATTTTTATTTGTGGTATTCTCTACTTGGACATATTTCTCATTCTCGCTTGAAATATTTAGCCTCTACGATAGTTTGGGTAACTTAGAATGTCATGACATTTTCAGTTGTAGTGGATGCAAGTTAGCTAAATTTACTCAATTACCTTTCAATAAAAGTTCTATTAGCGCTCATGCACCTTTTGATCTAATTCAATCTGCTCCTATTTTCACAAAAAGAGGGTCAAAATATTATTTTTCTCATTGATGACTATACCAAGTATTGTTGGGTCTATCTTTATATTCACTACTTTTGAGATATAATATATACTCAATATTCGTTCTTGTTATTAAATGTTTTAAATGTGACCAAGAGAAAATATTCTTTCAATTCTTTTTGTGAACTATTAGAACCTATTGGCACTATTTGTCAATCTTTTTACACCGACACACTTGAATAGAATGGAGACAACACGTCATCTCTTGCTGTCTACAACTGTCCCAAGTTCTTTTTGAGGGAAAACAATTCTTTTTAGCATTCATCTGATTAATTGCATTCTGACTGTCATCACATCTAGAATCTCTCCCTTTAAAAAAAACCATGTGGTTAACTAGCTAATTCTTCCTCCTTACGAGTGTTTAGAGGCACGTGTTTTGTCTTACTTTCTAGTGCTCGTCGTATTAACTTTAAACTCATTCAGCTCTATGTGTTTTCTTGGTTATGGTGAGGGTTAAAAACGGTATCATTGCTACAATTCTTTTGCACACAAACTCTA